TGGCTCTCTTGAATTTACCCTAGGTAATGCATGCGTTAGAATACAGATGAACCTCCTTTTCATTTTCACAGGCATCGGCCCAGTAACTACGGAATCTGCACGAATGGAGATAATGAGGGGCAGGGTTATTTGCATTTAAATTGTAATCCAGCACGCAAGGCGCCACCACTCTAACCAGGCTTCCTGGCAGGAGGCCTGGGACCAGCCAGAGGAGGGTGGGGACAATGATTTACATCTATTTAGGTTAATGTCCACTTTACTGAGGTGCTGGGGGGTGGGGGGTGGACAGTTGGTGAGGCAAGGGCAGGTGCTTTTCATTTTTACACGTCGAATTCGAATTGCATTTGCTTCTATTTCATGCTTCCACTTACTGAACTTTCCTAAGAAAGTGACTTAGCGCAGATGAAAAAAGATCGCCTCTAAATGTGGAGGAGAGAACTTGATTTTTCAATACATATAATATTAGGTTTGGTGTCTGTAGGCTTCAAATGATAGTGCTGAGTAGTCAAACTTAATATATGATCAGTTCTTACACATATTTTACCCCGTACTGCTGAATCATCAATACGCAAAACCTGAGATCTTGCAGCTGTCCACACCGTCAGTGGGCTCCATACACACCCTGTATCCCGGAAAATGCCAGCTGGTTGTCTCTTGGCCACTTGCGAGGGGAACACCTTCTCAGAGCATTTGGGTTCTGCATAAGCCATCCTAAACCTGCTACCATGGGGGGCGTGTATCAATTTCTTTCTCATTTATAAAGCTATTGTATCTTTTTTTTCCTATTGTGATTCAAGTGTATTTATTTGAAAAAAGTTTGTAATTATTAAAAAGAGAACCACACCCAACTGTATGGGCAGATTCCTTGTAAACCCCGTGGTCTGTGCGTCCCTGGCCGGTAACCCTGCCCTCCGGACATCACTGCAGGGCCCGTGTATGGTTCATCTCACTCCAGGGCCTCTCCCTTTAAACAGCTCACAGGTGATTTAATAAACACTGTCCTCAGTCTGTCTGGCACAATCACATATTAAATTCTGAGTGGTCTCCGTTCCTGTCATGTTTTCCGATGTCACCGTGGTCATTATTTCATAAATGTCCATCAAGTGAGTCCAGCACCAATGTGGGTCTCAGGCCCT